CAAGAGCAGCTGTTAAATTTTGGCAATGATTCATATCGCGAAACGAACTGTATAACATTAAATCACCAGCAAAAAGTTTTATTTTACATTTAAGGTTGTTTACTACAGATGATAAGTCATTTATAAATTAGAAGAGCAAAGTTGGTCCTAGCACACTACCTTGAGGTACACCACTAAAAATTCGAATCAGATCTGATAAAGCACTACTATTCTTTACCTGTTGAGATCTATCTGTGAGAAATGCAGAGGTCCACTTTAAAAGGTTACCACGAATATTATATAACGAAAGTTTAAATAATAGTTTTGAATGAGATACGGAATCAAACGCCTTTTGGAAGTCAATATATATAACATCTGTTATCAGATGATTGCAAGTGCGATACTCCAATCGTTAGTAGATTCTAAAAGATTCGTACCCGTAGAACGTTTTTTTGCGGAAACTGTGCTGACTAGGAAGTATAATGTTATAATTATTTAGATACTCAACAATGTCAAACAACTCAAAATGTGAGTTGATAACTTTTTCCATGATTTGACAACAAGTACAAGTATATGAAAGAGGAAAACATAAAACATGAGCTAACATTTTAAGAATTACATTAGATAAATCATCAGGACCGAACGAGGTACTAGGAATAATTCCCAATAGGGTCTTATACACTGAATCCACCGAGAAATAAACCGTATCAATACTTATTGAATCATTATCATTATCGTCCGTAAAAACACTTCCAAAGTGATTATTAAACACGTTAGCAATTTCTATATTACTAGAAGTGACCTTGTTATTGTTATTTTTGTCTATTAGATGGTGGTGTTTATTAAGGACATTCATTTTATTATTAACTTTCTTGTAAAACTTGCTGATGTTATTTCCCTATACTAGGTTTAATTCAATTTTCGAATAGTAATTAGATAAGATTTGTTTGCAATTCCTGGCGTACTGTTTGTAAGCTGATTTGTTATAAATGGTTTTGTTATTTGTCCATCTTTTCCATAATAACACTTTGCGGGTTAAGATTTTTTAAATGTACTTTGGATAGTGATTACTTGTTTTGTTATAATACTTTTTCCTGATAGGTACAAATTCATTAATACCAGTACCAAAAAGCCTAAGAAAAATGCTCCAGTAATCCTCGATTGTACAGGCACAAGAAAACTCAAAATCCCATTTTACTTTTTGATAAATAAGGCTCTTAAAATCAGCATTAGGAAAGTCGTAAAAAGATTCTGGTTTATTTTCACATCGGTTGAAATCGTTCGCATTTATAGAAAATTGGATTGTGTTATGGTCGCTAGTGCTAAAAGGACACTCAACAGATATATCACTTATAAGAGAACTATTATTAAAAAAAAACAAGATCCATTTTAGGTAAGTTGAAGTCACCAACAATAATAATCTGCGACACCGAGTAACATAAATTATAAATAATTGAAATCATAAATTCAAGATAAGCAACATCTGTTATTGTATAAAAAGGTAAACGATAGCAAGTTATTAGACGGAGTTTCTGAGAAAATCATATCAGCACATTCTGAGAAAATCATATCAGCACATTTGATATCAATATATCAGTATCTGTTTGATCTGTGCTTGTTCTACTTTAATGTCATTTCTACAGTAAGTTAAAACTCCTCCGCCAATTTCTACAGTAAGTTGCGACTCCTCCGCCAATTTCTACAGTAAGTTGCGACTCCTCCGCCAATTTCCACAGTAAGTTGCGACTACTCCGCCAATTTCTACAGTAAGTTGCAACTCCTCCGCCAATTTTAATACGGTCTTTGCGATGAATTGAGTAATTTTTTGGCATAAAATAGCGTAAGAAAGTTTATTATTAAAAAATGTCTCACACTCGTAGATTACAGCAGGTTTTGTTGCCTCGGCAACAATGAATAAAACTCATGAAGTTAATTGGCAAGGCTTCTTGCGTTGAAAAGACAGAAAGAAAATTTTAGATTTAAATTTTTTTGTAAAGAAAAGCTAACATTGTTATTAAAATGAAATTGTTTGTTAGCTATGTTTTTTTGACTTATTTTTTCATTTTTAACTTTTTTGATAAATCGAGTTGTTTTTGAAAGAAAATTTACTAATAATTGACATATTGTTAAAACCAACAGAATTTAATGATTCGTAACAGTTCAGATTTGATTTCCTGTTATTTGAATTTAATTGCTACTTGACGATTTTAACAACTCTGTCGTTACGTATTCCATAATAAAAAACCAAAGGTTGTGCATTTTCTAAATTTAGTTTTTTGCACTCATCTCTTAATAACTTGGAATTATACTTTTTAGCTTCACTTAGGTCAAGGTTGATAAAAACATTACTAAATCTGCTTGAATTTTTGAAGATTTTTGCAGCTTTTAAAATAGAATTTCGTTCTTTTTTATTATGAAGGACGACAACAAACGGTGAAAGACGACAACAAACGATGAAAGACGACAACAAACGGTGAAAGACGACAACAAACGGTGAAAGACGACAACAAACGGTGAAAGACGACAAAAAACGGTGAAAGACGACAACAAACGTTTAATATTTAAATTGATTGAATTAAGCATATCTAGGATTGATTCTTCCTCTTTAGCATTTGCAGTATTCAAATCTTTTGATGCAATTATGCCAAAAATTATTACGTTGCTTTCCCTTTCCTCATTTCGACAGCAACAACATTCATAATATGCAATTGCTCAACTGATTTTTTTAATGGTGCTTTGCCACTAACAACATTTGCCCAAGATGTTGAGTTTGGTGCGTTTGGAGACTTAACATTTCGAAGGCTTTAATTCTTTCTAACAAAAGTGAATTGCCATTTTTTAGCTCATCGAATATCTTGTTTAACGCTACAATTATTTTTTCTTGCTCGGCTTTATAAGTACTGAAATCAGTTAACTGAACATTTACCATAATTATTTGCTTTAACTTTATTAAACCTTTTTTACTTATAATAATTTTGGTGATAAAATCGTACGCAAAAACACGACTTGTCACTTTAAAAGTGGAAGTGAAAAAAGATTATTGAACCAAATAGAAGAACTTTTGTTCTGATTTATATACTGAACCAAATAGTCACACTCTTTGTCTCTTTAATCTCTGATAGTCACACTCTTCTTGTCACACTCTTTGTCTCTTTAATCTCTGATTGTCACACTCTTCCTGTCACTTCAATGATACAAGTCAGATCAAAATGAGAAGCAAATTTTTGAAAATCACTCTTATTTAATATAAGTATAAGCATATAAATGTTTGGGTTTGCTCCGTGTCAGGAGCTTAGGTATCTCAAAGGCCAAAAAAATATGGATCGTTTCTTGATCCATATAGATTTTTCCTATTGTTCTATTGCTGACTTGTTAGCCGTTATAACAAAAAGGTACTGTCGCACATTAGATGAAATCTAACTCGTGTTAACCATTTTTTTATTACTGATTTTGTTCTCTACCTTTATATATATCATATTCGTCCTGATATTAAAAACAATATAATAACAGTTGTCATATTTTTTAATAAATTTTCTGCCAACTCTCAACGAAATTATTGTTTGCTTGCATCATTGCTCGGATTAAAATTTTTTTTTTCAATATATATTTTAACAAGAAAAATGAATAATAGTATTACTTTGGACCTCCCTCTCCCCGGCTTTTTCCAAACGCTTTTTTGAGTACACTCCACATCTTTTAAACTACCACGCTTTTAACTTACCTACCCAACATTTTATGATATTTTTTTAAATTTAGTGTCTCCTTACTTCAATAATTGACCCACTGCCCTCCCATCTCATATATACAATTTTTGCAGACCCCCTCTTGTCCTCCGAAGTTAATATTTTGAAGTAATATAATATTACAAAGATAAGTTAATATTTTAAACTCAGATATATTATTTTAAAATATTTAGTTAATTTGCTTTATTTAAAAGGTTTTCCCTTCATGAATACTCTGCCGCTATTGGTTTAACATCTATGAGTTAAAACTATTTATAAGTTAAAGTTATTAAGAAAAATCTGATTATTCAATTTCACATATTTACACCTCGTCTATGTATCGTAGTTCTAGAAAATAAAAATAAAAAAGAAAAGTTTAACCTCAATAAATTGTTTTAAAAATATAGTTAAACAATATTTCCTTGTATTAGAGTATTAACAGTATATACAGTATTAACAGACACAAATGTATTTTTTGTATTTTCAAGTTAAAAAAAAAAAAATTCTTGTTATATTTTTTACTTTATCTATTTATTTTTTCTATTGTTGCGATTTATCGTATTTAATTGTAATTATTTATTAGCTGGTTTTATATAATGAGTACTTGTAAGTTTTAAGATAATAAGTAAATTATAAGTAAAAATATAAGAAATTTGTAAAAAATTTCGCGCTTACTATAGCGACTTGATAACAAGCTCCGGTCGTTCTTAATTTTATATTTTGTTGTTGAAACTTGTTAAACAAGAACATTGTGAAATGCTTATATATGACAAAATAAATAATAATATTAAATAAGGATTAAATCGACTGTTCTGGTTCGCTGTGCAGGTTATAAAAAATGTTCCACACACCTGTTTTTGGTAATTTGAATTTTCGAAATTAAAATGAAGCCTTCATACCTATTATATAATTAAAGACGAAAAATTTTAGACTTTTTTTTCCTAAAACAAGTTTTTCTGGTATACATCATGGCATTACAAGAACGTTATAACCAACGTTAGAACAACTATAACACTAATAATTTAGAGTTCATCGAATTTTATAACTATTTATATCAGAATAAATAATACCAGATGTATAAAATTACTTTATATTTTTTATTTTTAAAAAATTTTAGTATTATTTATTTTAAAAATAAAAACGTTAACTACATTTAGCGTTAATAATAGCAATATATATATATATATATATATATATATATATATATATATATATATATATATATATATATATATATATATATATATATATATATATATATATATATATATATATATATATATATATATATATATTTTATTTCATCAATAGAAAAATTATTCGAAGTCGAGAATTCCTTTGCAATAGAAGAAACCTAAATGAATACCTAAAAAAAACATGAGTATTGAATTAGATGCAATCAAGATAAAAATTATTCACATTTGAAAATTTCTGTACAATTTAAGTAAATGTACCTAAAATCATAGATATGTAATTATTCGTAATCGAGAATTTCTTTGTGATAAAAGAGAAGGTACCTAAATCAAATTAAAAAAAATTTCAAGTACATTTATATAAATGAGAAACAAGATAGGAAAAGGTACCATACCAGGCAAGTAATAAAAAGAGTAAGTAATAAAAAGGTCTATGAAAGTTGCATAGAGTATAAAAACAACAAAATAAAACAACAGTATGATAGCATCATTATTATCAATTACTACAATTATTAATCATTATCTAATTATTAATCATTATCTAATTATTAATCATTATCTAATTATTAATCATTATCTAATTATTAATCATTATCTAATTATTAATCATTATCTAATTATTAATCATTATCTAATTATTAATCATTATCTAATTATTAATCATTATCTAATTATTAATCATTATCTAATTATTAATCATTATCTACAGTCAATAATACATAATATTCTACAGTTCTATAATAATAATTTTTAATGGAAGCGTTGTAAAAATAAAATTGAAAAGAAATAATAATTTTTAATGGAAGCGTTGTAAAAATAAAATTGAAAAGAAAAACAACTTTAAAAGTTTGACACAATAATGACGTTAGCGTATATTTTGATTTTTTTTCATACGTTTATGTTGGCAATCAAATGGAAACTATTTGCAAAAAATATTTTTCGAGATGATCACAAAATTTTTTTTTTAATAAGTGCCATTAATAAAAGTTATAAAGTCTACTGTCTTTGATTAGTAACACGACTGACATCAAACTTAAGAATTATTACAGCAGAACTTCGTAACTAAATTAAAGTAACAACGGTAACTTTTTTAAAAGTTAATAAAAGTTTTAAAGTCTACTGTCTTCGAGCATTTTTCTTTCACTAAAGCTTTTACGCCTCATCTGTAATGCACTCTCGTTATGCTTTTATTTTAACTTTTTTTTCTAGAGCAGCTAACACAATACATGCATCCAATCATCTGTATCTTTACGCTTTATAAGCCCAAACATTCCTAATATTCCCTTGAGCACTGTATCAGATACACCCACTATTTCTAATCTCTGTCTTTTAGAGTCACACATTCATAAACCACTTTCTCTGTTTATCTTCTAGATGTTGGACATCATTAAACTTCATTCAAGTTTTTTTTATATATTTAACTCATATACGTTATAGCACTTTGAACGCATGTAATGTATAACATTCCTTTAACCTTTGAATATAATGAATAACGTTCCTTTAATCTTTAAATGTAATGTATAACATTTCTTTAATCTTTGGTAATACACCTTTTGCTGTTATAAGTGAAGATAACTTTTAAACTTAGACAAACATTAAACCAACATTATTAAGAGCACCTTGTATATCGCTACATAATTTACAAATTGCAAAATAAAATAAAAAAATTGAAAAAATTAGGATTGACCTAACTCCTATACACTACTTCACACGGGCATTTTCCAGTAATTTCTACTTGCTTATTCTTGACTAAAGAATGAATAACCTTTGGCTTGTTTAAGTTTATCCTAATCTCTATTGTTTTCTTTGCAATCAACCATAAACTGTTTGCATAGAATAACTTGGTAAATCAACATGCTCTTTAGAGACAACTTTAAAAAAAAAAAAAAACTTGGTAAATCAACACGCTCTTTAAAGACAACTTTAAAAAAAAACAACAAAAACCAACAACAAATAACTGAACACTAATGTACACCAACCAATATTTTAAAACTATTCGACCAAACTTTTTTTTTCTATTGCGACATTTTCATACATGACCACGATAACTGGTTAGCAGCCATTCTTTAACACTCTAACACCCTTTATCACCTTATACTTCAAAACCGATCACACTACCTCTCCTAGTAATCTGTTAAAAGCTTATAAAAGGTCGATTAAAGCTATACATAGATTGTTTTTTATTTTCGAAATATCTATTTTCGAACTTACCATATAGTTAACATGAGATTTAGTTTTTCCTAGTCTAAAACAAAACTGCATGTTTCTAAAAAATACAATACTTCTTACTTTGTAGCTTTCTTTTTAAAACTTTAATTACCTTGTCAAGTAATTTTATTCCTTACTTAAACCGCATTCACCTGCATCCTCTGAAGTCTTCAAAAATGCAACCAATATCACCAAGTACCAACAACTTTGACTAACTGTGCCCCCTAAGCAGCTGATTTTACTTCACTACAAGCTCGTTCACTAACTTTAATCCTAATTTTTTCAAATTCATGTTCATTTGGCAATTTATAAAAAAGAGTTTTCCGCCTTGTTTTTACCTTAACTCAATTTGTATGTTTTATTCCATCTTTAATAGCCTTCTTTAACAAGTTTTGTTCCATCTAGCCCTTGAATAGTCTCCATTAACAACTCTCCAAAAATAAAGAAAAAACCCTTTTTTTTGCTTACTATATGCAAAAGGATTTTGAACACTGCTTTTCTTTTTTCTATATATTTAGAGAAGCAAAGCAGAGTATAATTTGTTACTTTGTAACGGCTACTTACAGATGCACTTTAATTTCTGCCTATAGGGGCTTTGTTGGAACCATTCTAGGGTGAATTCTCCTTTGCTAAATATCTCAAATAGCAGTTTCTGACAGTTCATTGTCTGCAAGACCTTTCAGTATCATTGATAACCACAGATTACTGACTAAGTTAAAAACAATCTTGAACAGATCAAAATATTCCAAGACAGTTGGTGACAGACAGTTTAACTAAGGTTTATCTTTTTCATTTAACAAAAATTTTTTTCAAAGATGAACTAAGAGTTTTTTCAGATTGATTTTTCAAAACAATTGAGATCGTTAAACAAACGTAACTTTTCTGTATAATTAGACAGTTCAAGATATAGTTCAAAAGAGTTTTAGCAAGATATTATTTGTTTGCCTCAGGAAAATCCTTGTTCATAAAACCAAATAGAATTAAAATCTCATCTAGGTACTATGTATGCTTTATCCATTATGGTATTAATACCATTTAAAATATTTCAGAACCAGAGAATATTTTTCTATTTATTTCTGTTTTATTTATTTTTTCAAACAAATACTAATAAAATATTACTAAACAAACAAATTATTGCATAGTTTATGTCAATGTTGATTTATGCATACCATTCATTCATTCATTCTTAAAATGTGAGATACCTAGCAGCTCTAGATCAAAATCAATTAAACAGATGACCGAAAGACACATTGAAAATAATAATATTTTTTTCCTTTTTTAAAAACTGTTTTTTTTTTTATAATATACTATATGTAGATTAAAAGTTAAGAAAAGTTTGAATTAAAGTTAAGCATTGTTAAAATTTAAACATCATTAAAACATCATTAAAGCATCGTTAAAACATCGTTAAACATTAAACAATTAAATAACAATGTTGCAACATTTTTTTTTCAACATCTTCACTTCCAACAAGGCTGTAGGCAACCACTATTAGAGTTGGAAGGTAATGGAAGAAAAAATATAAAATTTATAGAACAAGATAACGATTGACAGACAACTTAAAAGATTGCAAGTTATATGAATTGGGAAAATAAGATAAAGGAAGCGAATTCCAAAGAAATGATGTTCGAGGAAAAAAACTAGACAAATAAGAATTTTTTAAAAGAAATTTTTAGCTAGACAAAGAGCATTTAGGAACAATAACAGTAAAAGGATGAGACTTAATTAAATGATGAGTAACAAAAATGAATTTTAGTAGATGGTTTTGACATTATACAAAACCTTTTTACAATGGTTTCTAGCTAGAGTAAATAGGCGCCTGTTTTCTGCAGAATTATTTTGCTGATGGATATGAAAGTAATTGTTTCAATTGAGAATTGCAGCAGCACAATGAGAGGACCTCTTTTTATTTTGATTCCTTATTTTTATTTTGTTCTACTTTTGTGATCTTGTGAACATTTTACACTTCTATACATTGATTTTGTGTTTTTTTTATTACTTTATTTATTTTGTGTTTATTTTACTTTATCCATTTAGAATTTTATTCCATTTCCAGATAGGAAGCTTGTTGAATTTAAGAGATAGACAGATGGTTCGATTTAGAAGATAGACTTGAGTGTTTTTAAAAAAGTCATTATATGACAACATATAAGTATTTCTCATTCTTTATTTTTTTCATTCATTTATTTCTAAAAATTTTAAAAAAAGTAACAGTAGTTGGCTCAACCAACAAATTAAAAACTTAATAAATGCTTACAAAAGAAACAAGATTACCCTTCACTGTTTAAAACTTCACTAAGGGAAGATTTAGTAATCCAACCATCATCACATTTGAACCACTAAAAATTAAACAAACAAAACAAAAATAACTTATAAATATCTTATAAGTTTATAATAAATTAAAAAAATTCATTAAATATGAACCTCTCCTTTTTTTTGTCTAATAAAGTTAGTGTAGTGGCCAACTTCTAAAGTTCCTTGATGATTAACTACGGCAAATAGTGAATATCTGAAAAAAAAAATTTTTTAGTCACAATTAAAAAAAATACTTTTCAGTCGCACATTTCAGTTTCTTATATTCTTGCGTGTAAAACATTGTCCAATCATTTTATTTAATTACTTGTTTTATGTAGTTAATTAAAATTATTTTAATTTTTATGTTAACCTTTCATTTATTAATAAATAAATTTAACAACATTGTTTCATTATTAAATAAACAACATAGTATATATATATATATATATATATATATATATATATATATATATATATATATATATATATATATATATATATATATATATATATATATATATATATATATATATATATACATATATATATATATATATATATATATATATATATATATATATATATATATATATATATATATATATATATATATATATATATATATATATATAAAACACAACCAAATAAAATGAACATATGAAAAATAAACTAAAATTAGAATTTAAGAATACACATTGACATCTACTATAGAATATTTAGATATCCATTTTTTGTGTTTCCAAGAAAATTGAGCTTTAGATTTTAGTATGTAAATAATTGTGCCAGAAAGTTTACATATTTTTTAAAAAAATATGTAAACTTTCTGGCACAGAAAAATGAAAATATTTACATATTTTTTAAAGTTTTTTTTTTTTAGAGGACACACATTCTTCTGATTGAAGAATATTGAATTTATTGATAATAAACAGACAAAAAGTAAAAATACACAAAATGTAAACAGCCTCTAATTTGTTCTGTTGTTAAGTGTTGCAAGAACCCTAGAATGCAACTAAATACAGAAAAATGTAAAATTATATCCCTAAAAAAATTAATTTTTTTAAAATAATATTAGAAATGACCTTTTATCATTGACAATGTCAATTATCAAACATTATTATGAGTTCTCTTTCTTCAAGGTAAGTTGCCTACACCACAGTTACAGAACCTTAAATACCCTAATATAGGACTGACTTAAGGCCATGGCCTTAATATATATATTAGTATATATATATATATATATATATATATATATATATATATATATATATATATATATATATATATATATATATATATATATATATATATATATATATATATATATATATATATATATATATATATATATATATATATATTTGTTATGAGCTTCATCATAGTCCTACACTTATTCATGAGACTTTCAACAGTTTCATTAACAAATATTACCAGTCACACATCTAATCTTATTATCTATCCTTGGGAGAGGTTATAAGATCAGTCCCATGAATAAGTGGTGGAATGTTAATGTTTGTTAATGAAACTATTGAAGATTTTCTAAAAGCCTCTTAAGCTTACCATCAGACAGCACCATTTTACATCAATATCTTGCAATAATAAATAGAAGTTTCTAACCATTAATAAAATTTAAAATTTTATTAATGGTTAGAAACTTTTAAAAACAGTTCTCAAGACAGTTGTTCTTTTATTACAAAATTACAATTTATTACAATTAGGTGCATAAGAAGGTGAAAACCATGGACTAGAATGAGGCGTGACTAGAATGAGAACCAACAAGAAGGAATAAAAGCCTTTATTCCTGCCTGGATCCGTAAGTATCTATGAATGCGATCTTAGCATCTTTAGCAATATTAATTATTTTAATTAATGTAATTAAGGTTTCTTCTTTTTATCATGTTTGCCATTATTTTACTCCTGATTATATTCTACAAAATTCATCTCTGTATGGAATACTGCAATCATTAGAAAAACCAGCCGTTCTCTTCTAGACAAGGTCCAAAAATGCATTGTAAACATAGTTGGACCCGCCCTATCTGTTAAGCTTTAGCCTCACTCCAATTATCTCCATTTTCACATTTTCCTGACACATACAACCTACGACATCATAAGTCTTCTGTCAACTGCTTTCTTGCTCATTAAATTTATTCTTTTTTTTCTAGTAACTCCCAACTTAATAGTGGTTGCTTGCAGCTATGTTGGGAAAGTAATAATAATTATCAAATCATAAAGAATAAAAAAATATGAGAATTAAAATAAAAAGAAAAAAAAAAAGAAAGCTAAACCCAAATGGTTGTTCCTGTTTTTACAGTTCCTCAAACAAAACAACTACAAAAACTTAAATCATTCACTTTCTGTAAATGTCTTACTTGGACTATTAAATAGTGTAATGAGTACTATCTGTGCTTTGAACTAAAATCTTTAACAAATCCAAAAATGATTAAAATACTAAAAACTAAAAAAAACCATAGTTCTCTAAAAATGTCATTTATGTCAATATCAATAAAATAAATTTATGTCAATAATCATGGTCTTCAAAGTAACTCATCTCTTGCAAAATTCACCAAAATTCTTTTATTTTTAAAGTTCACCAGATCTACTTACTCTTTGTGAGATTAATTTGAGCTGTCTCATCTTGTGATCTTAGAGTTAATGGTTATCTTTATTTAATTTGTAAAGACTTCAATAGTCACATGCTTAGCCTAGGTACATTACATTTAAAGGAATTCACCCATTTGTCCAGAAACTAGGTTTGAATCCATAAACTATTCTTTTATGTGCTTTCGTTTAGCACCAATTAACTCTATCACTTTTCTGTTTGTTCTATGTCACTCTGCTTCATCTTAATACTGCACTTTTATCAATGTTATTTCTGATCTAACTGACCAAGCTTTTTCTCTCTATCCTTCAGCCAAAATTGTTGTTGTTGGTGACTTTAATAGTCATCATACTAAATGGCTTGGCTCTAGTGTCAGTGACTCTGTAGGCATTAAAACCCACAAATTTTGCCTTTTTCAATATCTAACACAAACAGTCAACTTTTAAATTTGCTCTCAAGACAATCCGAATCATTTACCTTCTCTACTCAACTTATGTATTGTTTCTGATCCTAGTCAGTGCTGAGTTTTTCCACATTTTCCCTTAGATATTTCTGATTACATCTTTACATCTAAATATAATCTTTGTCTTCTAACCTCTCATAGAAACCAATTTGAACTGATTAGAAATCCTTTAATCTGAAACCTTTTATTCATTGTAAAAATCTATGGATATCTATATATATATAGGGATCCATATATATATATATTACATGTCATATATATATTACATATATATATGATATGTAATATATATATGAATCATATATTTGATCTATTTTTGTTTAGATTAATAAAAACAACTGATTAGCGGGATCATCAGCCATTAATACTTATTAAACTGTATTAACAGCTGACGATTGCCTTCGGGCATGAAACTTTAAGTCCAGCTAATCAGTTGTTTTTATTTATCTAAACAAAATATAATTATATATATTATATCTATATATATATATATATATATATATATATATATATATATATATATATATATATATATATATATATAGATATATATATATATGAATAAAAAAAAAATAATTCAAAAACAAATTTTTTTGTTTTAATTTTAAAATCTATTTAAGTTGCAAAAAAAAATTAAAAATAATAATAATAATAATAATAATAATAATAATAATAATAATAATAATAATAACAATAATAATAGAGGTTATAAAAGAATGAAGGTTACAAAAAACAGGTAAGTAATTATACATAAATGACTTAACTATATATGCATAAATATATATAGGATAACAGAACTTCAAAAAAGCTACAAAACGGAATTTGATAAAAGAAATAGTAAATGGGATATAGGAAAAAAATAACAGAACTTAAACTAGGCAACACAATGATAGTTCAATATTAACAAAATAAATAAATTAAATGAAAAATAAATTGAAAAAAATACTTACTTATTATCTAAATTCAAACCAGAAGCAACACTAGAATGGTCCTTTGCACTAAATAACATCAAAAAAATTTATTATAGTGGAATAGCGCAAAGTTTTTTTATTCAGTAAACTTGAATTTACTATGCTCAACTTCATATGCAACAGCAAGAAGAAGTTAAGTAAATTTTTTAAAGTTAAGTAAGTTTGTCCATTACTTAACTGTAATAATTAATATATTGTTTTGAAGTTTGTTTTGGAATTATAGGTTTAAAAAAAAAAGAATGAAAAAATATATATATTTATTTTTTGCAGAAATAAATACCAGTCATTTGTAGATGCTCTCTTCTTATTTTTGTAGATACCTGTTCTCATCCAAACCCTCACAAATGACATTTTCAGAAATATGTCATTAGTGACATTAAAGGTGAAGTTAAAAAACCATTTACTGATATACATACATACATTTGTATATATATATATATATATATATATATATATATATATATATATATATATATATATATATATATATATATATATATATATATATATATATATATACATATATATATATATATACTATATATATATATAGATATAGTATATATATATATAATATATATATATATAATATATATATATATATATATATATATATATATATAATATATATATATATATTTATATATATATATATATATAAAAATATATATATATATTTTTATATATATATATATATATATATTTTTTTCCGTTCTTTTTATTACATGTATAATAAGCATTTTGTTACAATAGTTCAAATACAAATATATAATAATAAATTTATATATAAATATAATGGTCGTTATTAGAAAATAAAAGAACACGGGGACTCGTAGAAGACCATACGGTCTTGTCGTCGAGTACCGCTAAGAAATGTTTGTGTTAAGATTTAAAAGATAATTACAAGATTAAAAAATAAAAATAAGTTAACAAAAGTAAGAAACTTAAAATACTCCATAATAAATACAAGATGCGTTATATTTATCATATATGTAAATTATAGTTGTTAATGATACACATACTTTTTATAAGTTCATGTTTAAATAAATGGTAAAAATTAAGATCACAAATAATATCAGAAGTATATTGTTAGATCATCGATTGTAAAAACGAGTTCTTTAAGCTTTTGTTTAAAAGAAAAGTAGTTACTTTGATTAATAAAATCCTCATTAAAATTTTTTAAAATTATTTTATTTCATAAGAATGGTCTGCGATAATCAATACAAAATTTAAAAAAGATTTGTTTGAAAAATGGGCTGCTTAATAAAATTATTATTGCGTAAAATGTATTTATTTTTATCTTTTGATGAATGCAAATTACGGAAAGAAATGGGGGATGAATTGGTTTTACATTTAAACATAAAACAAAGAATATTAAAAATATTAATTTAAAATATTAAAAACTTTCATTTCAAATAAAACTTTTATTTCAAATATATATATATGTATATATATGTATTTATATATATATATGTATATATATATATATATATATATATATATATATATATATATATGTATATATATATATATATATATATATATATATTATATATATATATATATATATATA